TTTTGTTGGGTTTAATTTGCTTTTGCTTTTTCTAGCTTCTTAAGATAGAAGCATAGATCACTGATTTTCAGTCATTCTTCTTTTCCTAATATATACATTTATAACTATAAATATCCTTATAGGCTGGGTGTGGTGGCTCATGCCTGTAATCCTAGCACTCTGGGAGGCTGAGGCGGGAGGATCATTTGAGGTCAGGAATTTGAGACCAGCCTAAGCAAGAGTGAGACCCTGTCTCTACTAAAAATAGAAAAATTAGCCAGGTGTGGTGGTATGTGCCTATAGTCCCAGCTACTCAGGAGGCTGAGGCAGGAGGATCGCTTGAGTCCAGGAGTTTGAGGTTGCAGTGAGCTAGGCTGACACCACAGCACTCTAGCATCAGGTGACAGAGCCAGACTCTGTCTAAAAAAAAAAAAAATTAAAAAAATGTTAAAATAAATATCCTTTTATGTACTATTTTATATGCATCCCACAATGTTCTGCTATGTTATTTTTTCCTTATTGTTCAGTTCAAAATGTTTTCTAATTTACATTGTGATTTCTCTTCTGTCTCATGGTTCATTTAGTAACGTACTTCTTTTTTTTTGTTTTTTGTTTTTTTTTTGAGACAAAGTCTCACTCTTTCGCCCAGGCTAGAGTGCTGTGGCGTCAGCCTAGCTCACAGCAACATCAAACTCCTGGGCTCAAGCAATCCTTCTGTCTCAGCCTCCCAAGCAGCTGGGACTACATCTATATATTTTTAGTTGTCCAATTAATCTTTCTATTTTTAGTAGAGACGGGGTCTCGCTCTTGCTCAGGCTGGTCTCGAACTCTTGAGCTCAAACAATCCGTCCGCCTCGGCCTCCCAGAGTGCTAGGATTACAGGCGTGAGCCACCACGCCTGGCCAGTAATGTACTTCTTAATTTCCAAACATCAAGATTTTTTTAGTTATCCTGCTGTTACTGACTTCTGGTTTAACTGCTCTGTGGTCAAAGAACACACTCTTTGATTTTAATCCTTCGTAACTTGAGACTTGCTTGATGGCCCAGCATAGTATCTATTTTGGGAAATGTTTTATGTGTACCTGGTAAGACTATATACTGTACTATTGTTGGTTGAGTTTCTACAAATATAAATTAGGTCAAGCTGATCAATAATTTTATCCAAATTTTCTGTCTTTACTGATTTCTGTCTGCTTAGTCAGTAACTTGGAGGTATGATTAAAATCTCCAAATATGTTTCTGAATTTGTCAATTTTTCCTTTTAAATTTGTCCATGCTTGCTTTATATATTTTGAAGATATATAATTAGATTCATACAAATTTAGAGTTATGACTTCTTTTTCAAATGACCCTTTTATCATTAAAAAGGTCTGCCATTATCTTTAGTAACACTTTTTGCCTTACAATCTATTTTGTCTGGTATTAATATAGCCATACCAGTTTCTTTTGGTAAGTGTCTGAAAGATTTATCTTTTTCCAGTCTTTTACATTCAACCTGTCTCATTATCAGTTTTATTCTTAAAATAATTCTCCAAGCTTTGACAGGGCTGATCTGGACACTTGCTAAAGAATGAACATTTTTAAATGTCACTTTTTGTACAAAAGCCCATAATGACAATGTTTGCCCATGTTTCATTTTGGGGAGTATAGGAGTAAGTAAGAGTGTCTTTCTTGTTCTTTTACAGGAAGGCCTTGCAACTCCAAATACAGTCATGTGCTGCATAATGACGTTCTGGTCAACAATGGACTGCATATATGATGGTGGTCCCATAAAAGTATAATACATATTTTTACTGTACCTTTTGTATGTTTAGATATATTTGGATACACGCTTACCATTGTGTTACAACTGAATACTACAGTAGTCAGTACAGTAACATGCTGTACAGGTTTATAGCCTAGGAGCAACAGGCTAGCCTAGGTATGTAGCAGGCTCTACCATCTAGGCTTGTGCAAGTACACTCCATGATGTTCACACAATGACATATTTCGCGGAATGTATCCTTGTCATTAAGCAACTCACACCTGTGCTGTCTAACATGTTTTTGAGGCCTGTAGGTCAAAACAGTCAAGAGTCTTTTACAAAAAAGAAGCTTGATGGTAAAGAATTATCTTCCTGATGCCATGTATTCTCCTGGATCTAAAAACTATAGAATCTACAGGTTAGTAAAGACTATAGAGGTCTCGTCTCATCCAAATCTCTGCCTTATGATAGACTGTCCTCCCCAGAATCTTACCAAATGGCCCACTGGCCTCATGGGCTCACAACGTAACACATTCCATCTTTCAAAAGTATGCTTGTAGGAAAGTTTTCCTTTTATTGGATTCAAATCTTCATTACAGTATCCACATAGTATTCCTAGTTTTGTTCTCTGGGGTCTACATCAAGAGAGATTTCTCCTCCACATGGCAGCTCTTTAACTTGAAAACTGTGGCCACTCCTCCTTCAGTTTCTGTCTTCTCCAAATAAATACCTCTTGTCACTCCTTTAATTGCTCCACATAATATACTGTGTTCAGATCTCTCAACAGTTGGGAGACCCTTCTCCCTGTAGATTCCAGTTTGTGGCGCTCAGATTTGGTCCCAATGTTATGGGCGAAGTACGACCAGTGCAGAGCAGAGGACTGTTACCTTCCTTCTGTACCTCAGCTTCTGTCAGTCCACTCTGTCTTGATGAACGCACTCAGCTTCTACAATTCACTCTACTCCTGATAACTTATTCTACTTCTATTCGTACACTCTAATTCTATTCACTCTACTTTTATTAATGCAGCCTGAGAACTCACTAACATTTTTGGTGGCCATAACTCATTCTCAACTAAGAATTCTTTAGGTTTTTCACCCTCAATGTGAGATTCAGGATAGACTTTGGCTAATGGTGATATACCTTACTAGTTCTTTTCTCCACAAATAATTATCTGGTTTTACAGCCATATATTTAGCACAATTAGGATAATAATTCTTGTACTATCATCCTCATGGGGTGATTGCGAGAATGAAATCATAGCCACGAAAAGTGCTGCATAAACCACGAAGAGCATTAAACATGTAAGATACCCCAATGTAGTTACATAACCAGAAATCTCCATCTCTCTTAAAATATTTCACCATTTTAAGATGGCAGTCCACACTGACAGGAAACATCAGTGAAAATCAATCTTTTCTCCTGAGGTCCCCAACAGTTACCACGGACCAGGTTTCTTGCCACTTCCTCTAGTGCCTGGGTTTACTAGGAATCTCTTTTACGTTCCTAGCTAACACACTGCAGCCATTTGGGGAGATACTCTCAGCTCCATTTAACAGCCTGTCTCTGGAACACGTAATTCCAAGCAGAAGTCTTGTGTTCGTAACTCTTCTGTCAGACTCTAGGAGATCCCTAAGTTAGGATCAACGCAGCCTCTTTGAATTTAAACAGAGTGTCACTGGTATCCTGCTGCCAGTCCCTCTCTGCACAGGGAAAAGGTCTCCTCCTCAACATGTGACTTCCTCTGAAGGAGGCAGGGGGGTACTGAGGCCCCTGAGAACAGTTACATTTAAGTTCTGGGGAGCCCAGCTATAATCCCAGGCCCTTTCCAGCACACACACCATGCTGTCTTCCTAGTGTGTCCTGGAGGGTGACTGAGAGGCAGGAAGGGAATGGAAAACTTGTCACAATAAGAGCAATCACTTAGAGAACACCTACTATGATTGACGGACTGCACCAGGGAATGGATCCTGTGTCAAAGGCTCTCAACCAGAGAGGAACTGCCCCCTCCCAGCCCCTAGCCCATGGTGTGTTCTGGAAATTTTTGAGGCGTTTTTGGTTGTCACCATAATTGAGGCCAAGGGTGCTATATATCCTGCAATATGTGGCACAGTGTGTCTCTAAAAGGCAGATCTAGAATTGGTGAATTCGAAGAATAGGGAAGTAGCTTCTACAAGTTTCTAGAAAAACCTTCATACCATTAAGGCTCATTGATAAGGGGAAGGGATGCCTCTGGAGATACCAAGAGCTCAAAGTTAGACAAAGTACCTTATATCAGGGGTCTTGAATTGGGGATGTCCCTTTTAGCCACAAGAACCTGAAACTTAATAGGGCTATTTTGGCCAAAGCAGAAACCCATTCAACAGGCAACGCATTAAAAATAGAACCCAAAGTTTCTGTTCTCTTTTTTCTAATTGAGAACATGCTGATTCTCTCAGAGACAGCAGCTAATCTGCTGCTCCACGTAGCCAAAGCTTGACCAACAAAGGTTGCCAGAAGATGGTGTTTAAGTAGTTTTTCATAAATGCTGAAATCATAGATCTGCTAATTTCACCGTTAAAAATGCCCTTGTCAATCTCTAAGAACAGCGTTAGAGGGAGAGCACAGAAGTTCTACCCAAAGTCATCATGGTTAAGCCAGACAACCCACTTCTCTACGTCTGTTTCAGCTCACGCCCCATGAGACTGTTTTGTCTAAGTTATATGTGTACGACTATTTGCGACACGGGTGGACAAGGTTGTTACCGTGTATCTGTACAGGAATTTGCCAGGTACACTCACAAACTATCTCCTCTGGTTTGCCCAGGATGTATTATTAAGGAGGGAAATGATCCTACGTTCTCTAAATCATCTTGACACTCTTTCCAAAATAAGACTGGGGCAGGGGAGTAATGAACCAAAAATCTTAACAGCCACCTTATGTATGGATACGTAGGCACAGAATAAGACTAACACATTTGCGCAACATACTTTTCAAAGCCTTTTCGCACCTATTATTTTATTCTCATCTGACAATGGCACAGTGAAGTAGGCAGGGTGTGGATTTCTGTCTCCCTATGACAGATGTGAAGCCTGAAGTTCAGAAAAGACAGTTTGCTTAAGGTGTTATCCCTTGGAGTATGCGCGTACGGAGTCACAATTTGAACCCAGATCCTCTGATTCCAAATACTGACCTTCCTTTTTCCCTGACCTCTTTTCACCACAGGTGTGTGTACGGGGGTGATGGTGAGGAGGGGTGCACAGGCTCAGGGGCGTAGTCTGTAACTCGAGCAACTCACCTGCTGATCCTGTAGCTTGACTCCAACGACTCTGAAGGTATTGCTGGCAGTGTTGTGGTAGATGTTGATCCGGCTGAATCCCTGCTGGCCAGGCTTGATGGGTACCCATTTCTTACTGGTGTCATCGTAGACCATCACAGAAGCCCGAGCTTGGCAGATACTATGTTCACTGCAGAGGAAGAAAAAAACTGAAGCGTTACCCTCAGCTACAGGGGATGGAAGCTGGCGTTGCCCTTTTCTGAAACTGAGGCCAAATGCTACCTGACATGAAGAAACTTCCTAATTTCCAGAACTTCCAACTGTCTAGGGAAGGGCTGCTTTGTGAGAGGATGAGTTTTCATTCTCCAAAGACCATGAGGAGTGGAGAGGAGGTTCTGTGACAAAACTTTCAATAGCTTAGAAAAGACTCGACTCACAGTTTTGCTTTCAGGGGAAAAGTTGCTGAATAAGAAAGGAATTACAATTACAATTTGTCAACTATCCACAATATTCTATGTGCTGTATTAAATAAGAGAATGCATTAAAGCACCTAAGTTTCACAACTTATGATATAGCTATTTATTACCCCCCATTTTATAGATGAGAAAAGTGTGGCTCATTATGCAAGATCACATAGGTATTCAGTGATGAAATTTGGGATTTCCAACCCATTCTGACTCTAGAGCACATGACATAGATAATATTCTTTGCAACATCCACCAAAATGTTCCACTTATGGTATCGTGATAGGGTAGCATCAGATAAGCTATGTGGACAACGAAGTGATTAGATTATCTAAAGAAAAAGCAACATAAATCAAAATAAAGAGATGGCTGCACCTTGCTTTGCTGAAGACATTTACCTAGCAAAGCAACTGCATCCATTCAGAATATGACACAGAACCAAGGAAGCCCCTGGAGAGAGAAAACAAGCATCACTAAAATTAATACACTAACACTACTGTCCCTGTATTCAGAGGAAGTCTCTCAGAGCCTGCTCATTTACAAATATGTCTGATAATCTTGAACACATTCGCAGTCTCCAGCATACAACAATTCCCAAACGTAAAAGGCACATGGCAGCTGAGGGCAGGCACACTGACAGCAGTGAGGAGTGGCAGCTGTCAGGACGGGGCGCACAGAAAGACAGAGAAGAACTGGAAACAGAATTTTAATGCCCCACAATTCAGGAGCAATGAGACAGAAGTAAAGTGTGCACGATAATGGATAACCGTAGTGCCGAGACCAAGCAGTCGAGAAAAAGGAAACAAAATATTTGATCCCTATCCCCAGCGGTTACTGGGGCATAAAAGCGTGCTGTTTGTGACACCAGTCCTCAGGGACTTGGAAATGTCAACTTGGCCAATATATTTGGTTCTTAAGTCAGCCAGAGGGCCGAGCTTGCCCAGGACCCACTGTTCAGAGATTGCAGACGATCCAGTACGTAGATTATTCTACTTTCAGCAATACTTGCGTGTGTAGTGCCACGTATGAGGCCCTTCCCTACATATTCCCTCATTTCACTTCAAGTGCATTCCTGTGCACGTGTTATGGATAAGTGCCAGTGCCGGGTCTCAAACCCACTCCGAACGTCCCCACTGCGGGGTCTCAATCTTGCCCCTGACTGCTCAGCTCTGGCTCTGGGGTTTAGGAGACTAGGGCACACCTGACAGCCGTCCAAGCCTTGCATGGTGGGCCCTGGGCGCATCTGTGGACAGAGGTGTTGAGAGTGAGCTGTAAGGGTTTTGGTCTGAAGATGTGCTGCATCTTTCTTCCCCATGATTCACCATTCATTCCACAGATATTTAAGGAGGCAGCAGTTGTCTGTGTTTTGGAGCCTGTATCCTTTACGAGAATATGCTTAGGAGGGGTTGCTCCTCCCCCAGCTAAGTCTTCGGGGCCCTGTTCTCATGAAGCACAGTAGAAATTAAACTGTAAAGAGAACCAGACAGGCCTTGGTTCAAATCATAGTTCCAACCTGATATAAATTAATCACAAATCAAGTTACAGGCAAAGTTCTGTCTCTTACTGGTATTGACACACTCAGTTGCCAACTGTGACAGTGGGCAAGCAGGTGTGTGTTCCAGATGCCATCTCAGGAGCTGAGAGAGGTCCTGAGATACAGCAGGGTATTAGTTAACAGCACACAGATTTTATGAAGTCAGAGGCATCTGCGCTGGAATCCAGCTCCGCCGCTTGTTGGCACACAGCCACAGAAGTGCTTGAGATGACACTGAGGGAGCATATCCAGAAGGCACTGTGTGACAGGGCAGTCCTTTCCAGCATCCCCGTGTGGCAGCCATGGAAGCGTGCCCTTCAGACCTCCTTCAAGAGAACCTGCCACGGGAGCAGAGCTGAGGCAGAGGCTTTGCTTCTCTCTGGCCACGCCCAGCCACTGACTGGACACAGCAGGGGTACCGGCGTTGGCTCATTCCTGCCTAGCGCAGGACTCCTCCACGGGGACAGCTTGGCTTGGGGACTCCCCACCAGCCTGGCCCTAACTTTCTCAGGGCTGCTGTGGTCTGAGATGCTTCTACTCCATCCTTCCTGGATTCTCTCCTTCCACAGACTTTGGATCTGTATCATGGCCTGAGGTTCTCCCTGCCTACACCTGCTCCCTTTATCCCCAGTAAATCTTTTACATGCTAACTGTCTGCACAGTCTTGGCATTTGCTTCTTGGAAGACCCAAAAGGACATTACCCTACTAAACTGCAAGTCCCACGAGGGCAAGGGCATTCCTGTCCCATCCTCTGCTGTGCCTCCAGAACCTTGCACATAGCAGGTGCCTAATATATGCTCACTGAAGTATGTCAGAGCTGAAGAGAACCCCAGAAACTATCTAATCTGCTCTCATGTCCAATAAAGCAGCCCTGACAAGTGCACCAATGAGCCTTTGAACTTACCACTCTCCAAAGTGGCCCATTTGTTGTCTGTCTTAATTTTGACAACCCCTCCTTGTTCTGAGTGACATTCTACTCTGCTCTCCAGAGTTACAGGGGTGTTTTGGATAGCCCGACAACCCACTGGATAGCTGGCTGCAGGAGCATCTTGGATCTAATAACTATTATCTGCACAACAAAGCTACAAGTCCTCTTGCCATCCCAGCAACTGTTCTCTATTGATTCCCCAATTTGTCACATTTTCCCCTAGTGTCTGGGTCCTAAAATTGGGCACAATAATTTAGCCCTAGCTAAGTTATCTGGTCACTTAGCATCTGATCAGCACAGATGTCAGTGGGTCAAAAACCTTCAGTGATACAGAGATGAGAGGCCTGTCCCTGCCCTCAGGCAGCTCACAGCAGTCAGGAAGTGAGAGGAATAGTCATAAACCTTATCCAGCCTAAGGGTCTGGGGGAGGCCCGGGGAGACTTTCTGAAGAAAATGCTGTGTGGGCTTATAGATGAAGGCTTTCAACCTCTAGATGAATTCAGGAAGGGGATGTGGGATTCTAGGTGGAGGAGATGAGCAGCCGCAGCAGAGGGAGGGAGGCGAGAACCACATGGTATGCACAGAACCGCAAGCATCGAGCAGGGGACAAGTGTACCTGGAGGTATCCCACACGCCTTTTAGGGGAGTTCGTATCAGAGATAATATAACTAAAGAACCTTGCAACAACAAGCTTGACACTAGATGCTTTAACACCAATAACTATTTTTATTATTGCCATTATACCCACAGTTTCCTTTTTTTGCTGTTGTTTTTAACACTTTAGGTTCAAATTAAACTTGTGGTTAACCAAAAACCCCGTTTTCCCCCCATTTGAGTCGTGCTTATTTGTCTCTCTTATTTTATTGCCACTAACAAAAACCTAAATGCAAGAAAATATACATTTATTCTACTTAAGATCTGTCTTTCTAATTTGGGCTTATTATTTTTTTGGATTATTTTTAAGAAAATCTCTATTGTTACCAGCCTAGACATTGCCTCTGAGCTCCACAAATTCGACTGTCTTCTCAACACTTTCATGTGGACGGATACTCAAACTCTGTATTACACGCATGCTCCAGAGCATCAGAAACTTCATTTGTCCAAGTCAGTTATCTTTTGAGAAAATTTAATTTGATAGATGAGTATTTTCTTTTGAAAATATTTATTGAATAAATGAATGAACTTTTAAAACATATACATATAAAATTCCCTTTATTGAATAAAAAGACTATTTGCTTCACAACAGGCCTGCACAGTTCATGCCTGTGTGGACACGGCCTCGGAGCTCCCCACCTTCCTTTGGCTCTGATGGAAACCAAACCACAGAAAGCTGGAGAGGAAAGGTGCGGCTGACGCACGTGGGGTCTTGATCTCTTACAAACTTCTTTTACATGATCAAAACAATCAGTAGATTAGTTGGGGGAAGGAGGAAATCGGTCAAAACACACTGGTTTGTTCTATATGGTGCTAAAGGACCAGACTGATAGACTCCTTCCCACCCCCCACCGACCTCAGCATCTACCGGGCTTCTCTGAGCAGTAAGCACAGCTAGAGTTTTCTCCTGGGGGAAGGCTCTTTTAGAACAAGCATTCCAATTCCTATTGTCATTTTGGGCTTTTTGTACAGGTGTTCGTGGGCCCCGTAAAGATTCGAGCCTATAACTTCCCTCCCAATGGCACACGAGACATAAACTAACAAAGCTTCAGACTGCACTTCTGTCAGCTTAGAGAAGAAAGACCATGTGAGTCTGGGCCTCAGTTTCCTCATCTGTACCAGACTAGTCTGACCTGAGAGGTCCCCTCAGACAAGGGGTGAGTACAGCACTCCTAAGCTCTGCCCAGGAGCCCAGCGCCAGGCAAGGCATGGCAGGGAAGAAGGGAGAAGGCACATTTGTCCTGTCGCGGGTTTGGCAGTTAACTTTTTTAGAGTATACATCGTAGACCACATTTGAATATTTGTTGAAATCTTTCATTGAAAAGGAAAAACAAGCAAAAAGCACCCCAAATTTTCTGCATACAGCTCTAAAACCTACTCATGGGTCTTCTTGGACTCAATATTAAGAAACTACTGATGCATTTTGAGATAAAACTAATATAAAGGAAAAAACTTGTGCACAACCCTTGGTAGTGACAGACTGAAGTCAGCCTCAGCCTCTTGCTCGCATCCTTCTGGAAATTGCAGGCTCCGTGTCCCAACAGCTGTCACTCTCGTTCCACCACTCCGGGTGTGGCCTGGAACGAGGTTTCTGAATTTCTCATGGGCT